TGCCGCCGCCGCCGTAGATCGCATTGGAAGCACCCACGCGTAAATAAACAGTACGTGCCCCGATCCGACACGTGTCTTCGGAATAACGTTAATAATAAAAACAGGAATGCGCGAGAATTCGTAGAACGTACTTCTCGTATTCGTGTTTCCTGGCACGGATCGACCGGCTCTCTTTCTGTCTTCTTTTCCTTCTTTCTTTCGTCCTATGTCTCTTCTCTCTCTCTTTCTCTCTCTCTCTCTCTCTCCGGATTGACTTCGCGACGGCGATAACTTGTCTCGTCGTGTACTATTGAGTTTACGTTACGAGTCGTCGTCGATCGTCAGACGTTTTCTCCCTGTCGAGATTTCAACGTTTTTAACAAACTTGAACTTGACACTTACGTTCGACGACGTTCGCCCGTCTTTTACGGAGAGAGGGAAAAAAATCTTACCGGGGATTTTGCGTGTGTCCGGTATATACCACCGTGTGTTAAACGTTTAAAGCAGAGCCTCCCAAAGCTGACTGAGAGCGCCGCCGACTGAAAGTCCGTAGCCTGTGCTCCACCGCTCGACGGGAGGACGTGCAGGCCGGGGTTACTCCGCAGGCAGCCGACGCGCCGACCAATCGCGTGCCGTCCCGGCGCGTCGAGTGGTGGGGAGGGCGACCGCTCCGACGCGACGCGACGTGGCAATAGCGCGCGCGGCGCGGCACGGCTTCGGGACTCACGTGAAGTTGGCTCTCTGTCGGCATGTCGGCTCTCAATTGTCTGAACACACACAACTCCGTCCTCCGTCCACCGTTCCGCACCTCTCCAATCCCAGCCGTCCGGGCTCCCTTATTGGATGGAATTCGGGGTCGCATCCCTTCGACGAAGGGCTCGTTTTAATCCGGTCCCGGGACTAAGATCGCGAGATGCGGTAATGCGACCTTCGAAAACGTAATGGACGACGCCAGGGGCGAGGCGCCGCGTCTCTCTCGCAAAGCGATCTCTCCCTCACAAGTTAGTACTCCTAGTCACTTGAATATTGCCGATTGTTTTTTACATGTCAATTAGCAGGTAAAATGAGCGAGGGCGAGTTGCGCCAGCCTTTCTGTGGAAACGATAATAGGATCGTAACAGCATAATGGAGCGTTACAAAGGGGCTAACTACTTTTTATTGAGAGTCCAACAATCTCGCTGTAAAAACTCTAAAAATGCTTCACTGAAAGGTTAGATTCTGTTATAAAAGGATTGGATTTTTGCAAGAGTCTTGCAACGCATTTATATAATAAAATAACAAAAAACAACCTAAATATAGGCTAATGAGAGTCAGCGCGAGCGAAGGTGCGTAATAAATCTTCACAAATAAAATTTGTTACTTCATGTGATGTGTTGATCTCGTCTTTATTTGAAATATTGACATCTTGAACGTTTCGATTCTCTTTGGAATTTTCATCAGTAAACTTCTTAAACTAAAAACATTGGACGATCGTGAAATCTAGTTTGGTTTAAGAAGTTTGCTGATGAAGGTTCCAAAGAGAGAATCGAAACGTTCAGGATGTCAATATTTCAAATAAAGACGAGATCAACACATCACATGAAGTAACAAATTTTATTTGTGAAGATTTATTGCCTTCGCTCGCGCTAACTCTCATTAGCCCATATTTAGGTTGTTTTTTGTTATTTTAAGAAGAGAGAGTCCTTGTTTAACATATTTATTAATTTTTATATAATAAATTGCGAACGAATACAAGAAACACTTTATATGTATTACATAGAAATAAAAATATAAGAAAGAATAATTTTACTAAAGTTTTTAAAAATTTAGTCAGATGTAGATCTGTAAATAATTTTGGACTATCAAATATGTAGAACGCTTATGATAATGTTGCAAAAAGTTTTGATATTCTAGCAGTTTAAAGTGTCTTATATAATTATTTTGCTGGTCCAAACAAAATTATTTTCAGATCTCTGTCCAGCCGAATTTTTAAATACTTTAATCAAACAATTCTGTTCATACATTTACAAAGTATTTAATATGTTTGTTCGTAATTTGTTATACAAATGCGTTACAAGATTCTTGCAAATATCCAATCCTTTTATAAGAAAATCTAACCTTTCCGTGAAGCCTTACTGCAAAATCCAAACAAACTTATTTTCAGATTTATATCTAGCTAAATTTTTAGATATCTCAGTTAAAACAAAACTATTCTTTCTGTATATTAAAAGAAAACTATAGAAATATAATAAGGAAACATGCCACTCTGAAAAGAATGTTTATTAAAATTTGATCGAGACGCTAACGATGCTAACATCGTCGTTGTTATTTCAAAAACGCACAGCAAAAGAATAGATTTGCGTTGAATGCAGTTACGAGATTGTTTTTTTCTCTGAATGCAAAACTATATACTCTAGATACGACAGCTCTCTCAACTGCTCGACAACTCGAGCGCATTCCAGCGGTCAACAAGCGGCATGAATGAAATTCAGCTTCTATTCACCTGCGGCGTAGACCGCAGATTCTAAGCAGTAACTGTCTACGTTCGTTATGATTTTTTGTCATGAATTGCTTTTATGATTTTATAACCACAAACGTAAATTACGTTGCTAGCAGCAATCATCCGTAATTTTATAACGATCGATTCGTTATAGGGTGAGATGTAGTTACCACACATAAATTAGCTCAAGTAATAAAGTACTGCCATGTCTAAATGAAGTATAAATGAATTATAATGAAGTATAATTTGCGATGTATAAATTTGTTTTAATTTCTTTCTGACATAAACAAAGTGCAAATTTTGTTATACGTTAATTATTTATATACATTATATATATATGATTTGTGTATAATATATGTAATATATCCTATATAACATATATATCCTGTGTAATATATAGAAGCTTGCAGCAATATTGCAACATTTCCAATCTTGTTGAAATATTACTGGAACGTTGCAATTTTGTCGTAATCTTGCTGTAATTATCTGTGCTGCATGGGATAATGTATATTCTTTATATAATATATATTATTTAATCATACATATTTATGTAATATGTTTAATAATCAGCCACCTGTTAGCAACGAAAGGAATCTTTCCAAAAATGCATTTACAAATTATAAACGTTAGCTATCATTCTGTATTAAATAGATAAGATTTTGTTATCAGCAGTTTATATAATTTTCGCTATTTTATAGAAATGCGTGTAACGAGATACATGAAAAAATGTTCTTGTTGATTTAAGAAAAATGTCACGTATCGAGTTAGTTTAATCCGCTGTTTCTTAGCTACGCACATAAAACAGGAACAGACGTTTTTACGGAATTTCGCACGTACCAACAACACCATTAATCGAAGAAGGAAGTGACATTTCGCGAAGGGAAAGCCGGAAGTTTGATTGCCGCGAGGTCGCGTGAGTAGGAAGCGAGACTCTCGCTGGTTTCACAACTCAATGTCAAATACTGATTAAAATTCTACTCAAAGAACAAAGGTCTTTTTCGTAATAAAGTAAATAATAAGCGATAAAATATCTGGATTTCTTTAGATAAAAGAATTATTTATTGGGAAAAGAGCTAACTTGTTCTTAATCGCTTAAACCAATTATTATTTTAAAGATTAACAGTCTTCTTATCTCCAACGAAGGAAAGAAATATCTAATTTAATATTGTTTTAATTACATCGAATGTCATGATTTCCCTTTCCTTTTCGAAAATTCGAAAGCTTAACATGATAATGAGTTAACGATACCAATTTGTCAATCACGCTGGATGATTTAGCTACTTCATTATCGTATATAATCGACCATACGCGACAACCAGATGAGTTTGACTTCTGTCTAATTAGGGAGTGTCATAGTATGTGCTGTAACATACGGGTCTATGAGGGTGAGCTGTCGAATCTCATGGGGAGGTGTTTTCAACCCCGAACAGATTCTCATGCCACTAAATATAACGGCTAATGGGAGTCAGTTTCCGTCATGATGGCCGGACTATATTCAGAGATATCAGACCGGGATATGCGGGCTCTTTGTGAAGGGTGTGTGAGAATGAGAGAAGAGGAGTTTTGATACTCCTATTTTTGCTATAGATTTATAAACTGTGTATGATTAAGCGTGAAATTTTTTAATTAATCGACAAGTACAATATTTAATATAATTTATCGTTATTCTACTTTTTTATAAAATATATTACTTTTCATGCTTCGATAAAAGTAGTTACATTTTGTATTTGAATATAAAATGTGTTAAAGGATTATATCTTATATTAAACACACACACTTGTCAACAATTACAGGTAACTTTATATTATTATAGAAATACTATGGAAATTAATATTTTATATATAAATTCTTAACAAAGTTTTAAAAATATAGACTACTCTGAAATGCTAGAATCTTTCTTTGTACAATTTTAATAACGGGATGATTTATGTTGTTGCAGTGAAATAACATTCGTACGTAATAATATTTGCATATTCGATGCAGATTCGTTATGCATTAACGACTTAAACGAAAAGATATGCATCTAAACTATTACATAGAAAATACGGCCGTTGAAGGTAACTCGTATCAGGTAAATTAGTGACTACAGGATAAACTACCTGATAGAATCGTAAAAACAAGTATATTTTTTTTGTGTACAACTTACGATTCTTTATACATAGTATTTTATGTTCTTCATACATAGTATAACGTGTAAAATACAAAATGTAAAACGTCTGTAAAAATAGATTTGCGTATACGAAAGAATTACGACAGCCTCACGACTTTGACATATTCCAAGAGAAGAGAAAATATGTCGTAACTTTTCCATCCGGAGACGAATGTACAATATAAAGAATAGGAAAAAATAAAAGGAATGGATAGTGGCAAGTATCCGTCACGTGCATGGCGTATGCATCCATTATTGCGGGAGAGCGCGTGAAAAGCGCGCGGATGTAACATGTGTTGCGCAGAGCAACGTTTGCG